AACATTTTTACATTAGGCATCATTTCATTTGAAAGCTTGTAGAAACCCGAATTGTAGACTTTGAACATATTTCTACTGAAAACCAATTAGGTATGAGTTTATTTAGTGAGTTGTAATATAATTCTCATTGTTGGCTTATGATACTTTTGGAGTATTTAATATAGGTCTCTTCATATACCATCCGCACTGCACACACTATGAACGTGATAGTAGGACTCTACCGCGTGTGTGAGATTTGGAATGGCTGTTACATGTTAGTAGGGTGACTTTGAACAGAAATTGACCAACTTATTTAGACCTAAACTCGAATTTATCCCTGCAATAATAAATAGACATATAATGAAAAATTTTAAATAAAGGAGCTCAATATCTGCGTGGTTTCTCATAACCTGGTGCTTATGGTCAACTGGCTTGGGATAATCGGCCTAAAACTCGTTACATAGGTCATGTGAGTCGCTTAATGAAATGAAGCATGCACTTAAGATGAAACAAAAAAATGTATGAGCATTCATGTTTGTTGTCATGATATAAGATAAATGTTTTATACTTCAAGTCAGGGAGAGAAAAGACATTCTCCTTAAAAATGAGCTTTCATATGTAGGTTCTAATGTGGTTTACTGGTTTGACATTCATAAGTAGAGGAATATACTTATTAGCAGTGATGTTTTGCACGTCCTTTTTCACAAAATTAAGGTTTGGAGTCTTACTCCCAGAGGATTAGTGACACTTAACACATTATGGTCACTTATCATTTACTCCATCGGTACTTAGAGTTAGTTTTGTGGGAAAGTTTATTATTCATTGCATATACTTATGACTGCTTACATCTACATTCTTAGGACTCAAAGGTATTTTATCTCTTATCATTTTGTAACAAAAAGAGGGAGTAGAAAATCAACTTGTTTGATTTATGACTCAAAGGCATTTTCGACGTGTGGGCCAACCCTCTAATTTCCCCCCCACACCACGCTGCATCCGCGAAGTTAGCTGACGGCGATGCAGGGGAAACCGGCCAATCCCACTCCGACAAATGCGATGCTGGCGACAACATGGGTAAGTTATCAATTGAATCGTGGGTAAGCTGAACTTGTGGATTGGGCTGATTTTTGAGTGTGTTGTGAAGTGCGAAGTGCTCTGTTTTAACTCGAGGGGATTGGGTGTGGCGTGGGGTGGTTGCTGTGGTGGGGGTTGTTGCGGTGGGTGGGCTGGGCTGGGCTGGAGGTGGTGGTGGTTGTTGCAGTGGGCTTGGCTGGAGGTGGTGAAGCTTTTGCGGTGGGGGTGGGTTGGAGGTGGTGACGGTTGTTGCAATGAAGATGGCTGGAGGTGATTAAGCTTTTGCGGTGGGCTGAATATAATTGTACAATTGGGTTTGAACTGATTGTAATTTCACAGAACTGTAATTTTTGCACACGTTAGACAGAAGCCATTGTAAGGGCTATAACCTGTTGGCTTACAAAGAACCAGTTAATGAATTGTTCCATTGTCGTGAATGCAGGTTATGCGGAAATTAATTCATCCGAAGACGACAATCCGGTTGATATGAGCTTAGGAGAAGAAACTGATATTCGTGTGCCTAGCGTTGGAATGAAGTTCGAAGATGAGAATGAGGTTTTCGAATTTTACAAGAAGTACGCGTACCATATCGGTTTTCCGGTGAGGAAAAGATCTTCAAGGAAGGGTGATGATGGGGTTGTACGCTACGTAACTTTTACATGTAGTCGGGAGGGCCGTCGAATAAGTGGAACTAATGCAATTCTAAACCCTCAACCAACAATACAAATGGGCTGTAAGGCGAGATTGACGGCATTGAAAGATTGTAATGACATATGGCGTATTAACACTCTTATTTTGGAGCATAATCACAGAACAAGTCCGTCGAAATCAAGGCTATATCGATGCAATCGAGAAATAAGTGCACGCGCAAGAAGACAGCTTGAAATAAATGACATAGCTGGAATACCATTACACAAGAGTTTTAACTCAGCCGTAGTTGAAGCCGGTGGTTATGAGAAGATTACATATGTTGAGAAAGATTGTAGAAATTACATTGACAAAGTTCGAAGATTACGACTTGGTGAAGGAGACGCTGTTGCAATACAAGCGTATTTTTCAAAGATGCAAGCAACTAGTCCTGGTTTCTTTTTCAGTATAGACTTGGATGATGAGGCCCGGCTGAGGAATGTATTTTGGGCGGATAACAGGTGCAGGCAAGCGTGTAAAGAATTCGGCGACGTCATTACATTTGATACCACATACTTGACAAACAAGTACGAAATGCCATTCGCTCCTTTTGTTGGGGTGAACCATCACGGACAATCTACTCTACTTGGATGTGGTTTGGTCTCAAATGAGGATACAAGTACTTTTGTATGGCTGTTCAGGACATGGCTACAATGTATGCATGATCAAGCTCCAATTGGAATAATTACAGATCAAGATCGTGCTATGCAAAATGCAATAGAAATCGTGTTTCCGAACACGAAGCACAGATGGTGCCTCTGGCATATTCTGAAAAAGTTACCAGAAAAATTTGGCGGCCATAGACATAAAGCTTCTATTCTTGCAAATGTACATAAGTTGGTGTACGATGTGCAAAGTTGCGAGGAATTCGAACAAGGTTGGCATACTATGCTCGAAGATTACGAATTGCTGGAACATAGTTGGTTGACTGGTCTATACAATGAAAGAAGTCGCTGGGTGCCATGCTTTTTGAAAACATCATTCTGGGCGGGTATGTCAACCACACAAATAAGTGAGGGTATTAATGCATTTTTCGATGGTTATGTTCATTCAAAAACATCTTTGAAACAATTTGTAGAGCAGTATGAGCGTGCGTTGAGAAGTAAAGTTGAAAAGGAGTTTCAAGCCGACTTCAAATCATTTTCACACATGGTCCCATGTGTGACAAGGTACGAAATGGAGAAGCAAATTCAATCATTGTACACAATCGCGAAGTTCAAAGAGTTCCAAGAACAATTTACTGGGAAGGTATATTGCGAAGTGTTGTCGGTGCATGAATCATACTTGTGCACTACATACGATGTTCGTGAGGACATTATTGTGAATGAATGTATGAGGTCAAAGTTGTTAAAAGTGTGCTTCCGTAGAGAAGATGAATGTGATTTTGAGTGCAGTTGTCACTTATTTGAGTTCCGAGGAATTGTTAGTACACACGCGCTTGCAGTTTTGATA